CGTAAAGTAAAGCCGCAAGTGAGAATCCTGCTACGCGAAAAGATAGATAATAAGACACAACATCATCCCAGTATTCAGGAGATGACTTGAGGACAGACGATTGTAGGATGGCTTTAGCAGTTCTGTTTATGCTTTCTACCAGACCATTACTATCAGGGTTGTAAACAGTAGTATGTGTTTTACGGATTGCTAATAGCCCGTATAGGTAAACTATCAGATGTCTGTCTGAGAATGTGTTAGGAGTGTGATTTTTTAATCTGCATTTGATAATAATAATAATATATTTATTCTCAAATAAGTACGTTACAAGAGTCACGCCAGTTTACAGGCTAGATCAAATTGTTACAAATGCTTTCACAATTACTGTAAAGTTATAGCAGTTTAAGCGTCAGTTTCTGATTGCATATTCACACCATGTCACTGACAGAAACAGTATAATACAGCCACATTTTCAATAGTAGGGTACAAATAATGTAGGTGCACAATGGGTTCCTTGCGATTTGCCGAGATCAATAGTGAATTTGTTGGGAAAGGTCAATTGGAACGCGCCTGATACGGGCTGTGATCCAGACAGTCATGTACATAGGGTGCATGTTCCCTAGAGTCGCCAAGGATTTCCCACCTTGAATGGGGTTCTGAAAAGAAGAAAAAAGAGAGAGAAAAAGGCAGCAGTGTGGCAAGTGTATATACATCACTAAAGCACTGATATGAAATGACTCAAGCTCTACGTCGCGCCAGAGGTATCGCAAGTGGCTCTATCCGAAAATTTTTAAAATGGTTACACTTATTTGCAGTGGCTTTAACTGAGGGTCGGTTTGCCGTCTTCAAGTGCTAGTTGTTGTGACGTTTTATCAATTAACGGGTCATTTTCACCGGATGGCTTGGAAAAGCGAAATGAATCCAGTTTTTAATCAGAGGATTTTCGCAATCAAATTCCTGGGTATGAAGATAAGATGTGGGGCGGAAATGTTTCATAGTCACACTAACTAATATCTCTAGTGTTTGGTGGTTTTGCGGTTAACCTAATGCTAGGATAATTATTATTAGTGTGCGTGTATAGATGTTGGTCGAACATATTATTGTTATCAGCACTGAAAATTGAGCTTGGTTTACATCACACAACTTTGGAGGAGTGGGCCTGTTCATCGTAGCCGGTAGAGTCACGGGTAAGCTAGTCTCAATTCTACCCATTTTTTATTTGAGACCCAGAACTTGGTCTGATCTTTCTTCCTAGTAAAGGTTGACAATTGTTTAGTGCCCTAGACGTGTTTTTTAAAATAAATTCCAGTACTTTCCAGAACTCTCGTGTAATAGATTTAGAGAGATTAATTTTTATTCAAATTATTCTAGCTGATTATGTGTAGTATAGCGACACATAATCAAACAATCCAACCTTCAAACAGCCTGGATTAGACTTCTCAATAGCGGTCGGGATTCATATTTTACTTAAAGATTCACCGGTTATGTGCTTATCAGGTACTAGAGGGTTGCCATACCACATGCTCAATGGCAGGCTTCCCTAAGCTTATTCAGAGATGTACGGTCAGAGAGAGTTTACGCTATCACACTATATTAAGACGTTAGTCTTTTCGTAATTTCCTCAGCTACAAACTTTAGGATGTATTCAGCTTTAGTTGGTTCCTCAATGCTTTTATCATTATCTGATGCCAAAATGTGCTAAAGGGTGATGACTGGTTCAGCTTATCGTTAATTTGGGCAAGTGAGATTTGCAAATGTCGTATCTCGTTGCCACGACGAATACTACTATGATCGGTGTCAGAGAGATCATTTGACGCTTTTTTGGTGAACTTTTAAATTTTGGCTTTACGAGACTATATTGATGTATATTCTGTGTTGACATTTTAGTACAGGTTGGTATAGTACCTCTTATATATACGAGTTTCACTGCTGGTATACTAAGTGAAGAATCGTCATACAGATTGCTAGTTAAAGATAGTGAAATTTTTGGATCAGATATACAGGGTTCAGAAGACAAGTGTGACTCTTCAAATAACAGATTCATCAGGCATAGGGGTTACAGATTTCGACATTTTGAGTGTTCTAAAATTTGGTTATATTTCTCTTTTACTCGAATCATCGGTCATAATTGAAATTTTACCGTGATAGGTGCTTGTCTAATTAACAGAGTATGATTTTTGTGTTCTTCTTCACTCTCGCACTTTGAAATTGCCCTGTCCTCGCTGACCTCCTACCATTAACAGAAAACAATCCAGTTTTTTACACTAGATTGCGAAATTTAATCATTTCCGAAGATCTAAAATATGTCTCCATTCATTCGTAGACAGTCCGAGTACTACTTGAGTCAAACAGAATCATTACAAGTCAGAACCACTGTGCGTTAGGTCTAGCTGTTTCAATCAAACGCTCTCTTCACAGTCGATTCAGTAGCATACACATATTCATTCATGATGCATGATGCCAGCCAAAATCACTCACTCTGCTTCTGAATGCAACTTCTACATCACATGGTGTTAAATCCACAGTGGATTCTGAATTCGGAAAACTGTTCTAGAAGTCTAGATAAGTGCCCTGCCCAGTTAATCCATAAAGAAAGCAATTTATCTGGGTTCTATTATCAATCAAAAATGAAATACAGATAATTAACTAAACAGTATTACATTGTTTTCCATCCAAAATAACACAATGTTTCTCCAATTCTGGAAGAATGCTTATGTATAGGTCCAAAATTGCACTCCTACAGTCCAGATGCACGTTTCACCCGCCAGGGTATGAAATCCGATATGGCTGTAGCCATAATTAAGTATCAGTTTAAACAACATAATACAGTTCAGTAGAAAGCATAGAAACTCCAATAAAAGTACAAAAAATAGAAACTATAACAAAATACAAATATTAACATCACAAAACGGGATTAAACAGAGTATCAAAATGTGGCGCAGTAAGAATCAGTAAGAACATATTACAAATACATACATGGAGGGATTTCCCCGAAAAAAAGCCATAAAAATGGATTCTACACATAGATCCATTGTCAGTGAAGAACGCTACAGTACCTAGAGAGTTTATTCTGAGTCACATCTGTCCGTGGTTATGGTATATCTATCCACAGTGCAGAATCACTGAGACAATGAAAAAATTGGTATAGCCATAGGCCTAATCAAAAATCAACCTGTAAATCTCAGCAGGTAAACCTCACTCGTCCGGTAATACACAGACGAAGTAGGCTACAAAATTATCCATAACCCGAACCAGCACACTGACAAAACTATCGGCTGCTGTTGACGGTACGGGAAGCGGCTGAGTGTAAACAAGGAAACCGCAACACGACAACTAGCAAAATATTATGAGTCAGTGACAAGGATGTTAGACTAAATTTACTAATTTTATTTAATCTTCCAATGTCGGAGGGTAGCTTACTGAAAGTTGAGGCTGTCTCTGATAAAGAGAAACGGGAAAGTAATGAGCAATCCATGGGATGTGCAGTACCCTTGCGAAAATATGCCGTCGTTTAAAAGGTCGGAATGTTGCAAAAGGGAAAACCCCTCCGATGATGGTAGCTTTAGACTCGTCACAACCTAGATCTATGAGATAACAACAGGGAAGCTAAAACAAGTGCACACAAATGACAGGTGACCTTGCCCAAGAACTCTCGACACAATACACAAAGAAAATGGTCTCACCAATTGAATACACTACCTTCAGAAGCAAGTCACCGAAGAACTGGCCAACTCGGTTTGAACAACTTGTTTGCAAATCCCACAGCGGCTGTTGCTGCAGAGGTGCATCAGGTGATGAGAAAAATCAGTGACTCTATAACAACATGTGAGAACTAAGGGGTCAGCTGTTAGAAATCAGGAATATGTACTCTAAGATGAATCTGAAGATCATAAACCTGAAACTTGGCAATCCACCGACACAGAGGACGATGAAGTGAACCTACAAGGCATGACAACCTTCTGATGTGACAGGGTACATCAGAATGGATGCGGAGTGGCCATACATATTAAGAGTCATTTAAAAGCCGAAAGACAATAAGACATTCAGCTGACCTAGTTGACAGGTTCATGTTGGTGTTGTTTCCATATAAGTCGCACGAAATAATTGATTGGACGGAGGTATTAAGTCCAAGGAAGATAAACTATGACTGCCACTCCCTATGTTTTATCATATACTCTTAGCTGACGATTTCACTATATCATCTCTAAGTCACAATCTCAGGCACACTGCCCACCAAAGAATATAAAAATCTGGGTTAAGCGAGGCACTGAACGCTTGCAACAGGCGAAAGGAGAGCCTGGTACAATCGGAAAGTGTCTCTTACGTGTTCCGACAGCAATTATTACTTGGCATTGAGAAACAGATGCAATGCAAAGATTCGAAGGTATAGGAGAGACTTGCAGATGAAACTAGAGGCCAAAGTATAGGCTAACCCAAAATATCTCCTTAAGTTCATCACTGTGGTAGAACATGCGAACCTGTGTGTCGCTCCCTCAAAGTTCTAAATGGTGGAGATCTTATCAACCTACGGATGGCCGAGTTTGACTAATACTCAGTGTCAGCTGAAGGCTTAGAGAATATCCAACCAACTACTGACTTGGTACTAAGGAGACTAGAAAGCTTACGCTTTAGAAATTCACCAGGATGTGACAGTATTGGCCCCATAGTCCTAAAACAGTGGGCAGAAGCTCTAAACTCACCGATAGGTAACCTGTTCAGGTATTCACTGAAGCCACACCAACTTCACATTGCAACTAACTGAACCCCCAATTGGTATTGTGATATCTTGTTGTATCCAGAACCCTACTGCCCTGAAACAAACGTATTCATTCAAATCACGGGACAAACAAACAAACCGATGTCAACTTGTAGGAATTAGTTTAGTAGAACGGCTAGACACCCATCCATTTGGCACTAACGAATATCTGGAACCGCGCCGAAGGACAAGGATCGGGCGCAAAGAAATCAGTTAGTTTATAGCAGCTAGATATTGGATAGCTTGTATATTGAATTGTGTTTTAGTGTTCTAAAAAGCCTCTTAAAGGTCGACTGAAATTTTGTATTAACTTTATGTTATTGATACGGCTTAAAAGGAATGAAGTAATGAACTTAGGCAAAGAACTGAGTGGCAATACGGACGGATTTCCTGAGAAAGGCGAAAGTCGAGAGGTGTATTTTTCCTCCGACGTACCTTCAGATAATTCAAAACGCAAACGTTATTTAACTGCAAAATACGATAGAAGAACTCGTCAGAAAATTAGCGAAAAAATACGACTTGAAAATTTCGTTTTTGAACAGCTTCGTATCCTTTATCGCACAGAGGTCAGTATGAAATTTTTGATGAGCTTTGTGCCAAAGGTCGATGACTATGATTGTGATATAGATTTGGATGAAATAAGTGATCTTAAAACGAATGATCAGAAAGTTCAAAACCTTAAGGTAATTGAATATATGTTTTATTCCAAAATTTTTCGACTAGGAAAAGCTGAAGTCCTGCCCAGCTAAACAAGAGCAAATTGATGTAAGTATGTGTGTAGTCCTTATTTATTTGTTTTCTCACTATTTGCTACCTATTAGGGTGTTAGTATTGAAATTTTGGTTTTAAGCTGCACAGGTATATTTCAGTTTAGAGCTATGAGAAAATCTATATTCATTGGGGATGTTTCCATTAAAAATATTGTAGCCCTATAACCCACTATCAATCCACCTGTTTTGTTATTAAATTGTCCAATGCTTGAAAAATAAAACTGCGAATAACTGAATAAAGAAGAATTCATATACTTTTAAATAATCAGACTAGATCAAAGTTCGTTCTGTCAGGTTATTCGGTTGAAGAACTTCAGAAAATTGCCTTAAATTTTCGTAAATGCAATTTAATGCAGTCAAATGTACCCTTGAAGTAAACTCTAACTAAATATAAGGTCAGAAGCGGTAAATCATCCTAGATGAATATTCCTCATCAGTTTTATACTGGAAAGGATAGGAGACTGAGTGGTCTGTCTTAGTCCTAGCAAATTTCAACTCCCAACTGATTCACCTTCCTCAGTCATGTGCTGGGATAACGAGTTCCCTTTCATTACCGATTTGATGGAAAAATAGGTAGTCAGCTGACAAGTAATTTGTTCTGGGCTTTTGAAATCTACTTGGATGGCAAGGAAAATAAGGGCATCTCAGATACAAATTGATCGTGAAGTAGATTAAAACCTTTGATTAGGTCATCTCTGGTCCTTCTATATGATAAAGAAAATAGATGTCTATTGTCTGTCTTTAGGTAGGAGCTGACCGCTTGCATGGAACACTAAAGTGTAACTCCAGGGAATACTATGTACAAAGTGAAAAATGTCTTAGCATCGACACAGCCGAAGGATCTACGTATAGACGATAGATGCCTCTGTCGCACGGCATCGTGTAGTAGTTTTATGGTTCTGGCTAATGATGACTGATAGGTCATTGTACATCTGGACAACAGGTGTGACTCCAAAGGCTTAGGGTTTTTAATATTGTTTTCATGGAAAACCAGCGCTTTGCTGTTGAAAAAATGAAAAGTCTATATTAAATGTAACTTAATATTGTTTTCATGGTCAGTAGAAAAAGGCTGATAATAATTTATTGCTTTATAACAGATAAGATTGCTTTACTCGTTTACAAATTACCCCTAAGTCTATGTAATAGCATGACGACAGGATGTTCACATTAAATATAATTATTTGAAATTCATCATACACGTCTATCTTAAAAATATGATTGGGGCAGTAAATCTACATTTTAATGAGGTTAAAAGCTTCAAGCCTTGTAGATTCTCAAACATGACCAGTAGAAACAAATAAAATGCAGTAGTGATCCGATATACCATAATTTCTCTGCACTCCAAAGTATTTGGTCTACTCAAGACAATATTCTATCATTTTTCAAAGAAAAAAGCTTACCTATGAATAACAGAAGGATACTTACGAGCTAACTGTTATAATACAGTCTTAAACCAATAGTTTGAAACCGTAATAACTTACATTTAAAGTGAAATCCGACAATGCACTCAGGGTTAAGTGGAAAGACATTGAGTAATCTCTTGAGTGAGATATCGTTATATAATCAGTTGAATAGTTTGAAAAAATCTCCAGTCCGTTATTTTATAAAGTAAAGTAACACATTTTGTATGAACTCTCGTAAAATTTTCACCTAAAAATCTAATGAATAATGTCTTGTGTAATTTTGAAAAACAAGCTGAATAAGCAGCATCCAAAACTGGAATGGATTTTTACATATAAAACCGCTGAAACAATAATTTAACCATTAAAACCTTATTGTAAACCCACAGATAAAGTGGTTTTTGCGTTGTATTTAACTTCTCAATGCTAAGAGATTGCCTACTTGAAAACTTAAAGCAAAAGTACAAAACAAGTCTGATTCGCTAAAACATCAATGTAATACGTTGCGCACCGATTAGTTGTCCTGGAAAGTTCGTATAAGAAATTCAAGATCACATTTGATAAGCAGTAATAACCTCTCAAATAGTATTAAAAGTGAGCACTGGATTTCACTGTTCGTTGCGATTGTAAACTCCGACCGTAGCTGCTACCTTGATGTGTTGTTTGGGATTACCCAACCGAACAATATTGGCCGGAACATATGTTCCTGAAAGTTCTACCGTGCCAGGCAGGTCGATTGGAGAAAGGTGAGACTAAAAGTAGCTACTCAAGGTCTGAGGGCGAAGTAGTGATGCTGATTGTAGAAAGGTGTTAGAGCAGTAAGGTGTTTCTCTCAAACAACCAGCATCTGCAGCGATGCTGCCTCCTCTGTAGGAAGGAAGGAGTTGGAAAAGGTAGGCCCTAAAAATATCTCACCTCACCTTACCTAGCGAATCTCCGTCTTCAGAGGTCGGTCCATTTGAAAAGCGGACCAATAAGGCCATGCATGACGAGCACTAAACAGTTGTCCATTGGGTTCTGCGGTCACTCTTCCAGGTCTCTAAGACCAACGCTAATCTACCTTCCTTTCCAGGTTCCTGAAGAAACACCTTTCTATGGTGTAGGTAACCTGGAAGTGTCATCCGATTCCATGCGCACAACAGCACACAAGACTGATTCGGCGACAATAAAATTCTCTCTACATCTCTTTTAAACTCTCTTATCTCTACGACCAACCTTTCCTTCATTCCTTTGTCACCTGGCACGGCTGATAAAAGCCATTAGAGTATGCGAAAAGTAATTCCTGGTCCCTTGAGACCAGGCTCTAAACTACATGTTGCAGCTTTTGATAGGGTAACAGGCTTCCTTAGCTAGGACTGGAATCTCACACCATTGATGTTTTATGCATCTCCGAAACGCGCATACAGGGTCTGAGTAGAATCAATTACCTGATTTTACCTTGTTCGGGCCTCCTCCAAAACGTGAGGCGCCCTGATTTAGTAATAGTGGCTCAAGTAGGTAGACTCAGTGAAAAGGAAAGACAGTCGGGTGGATTTTACAGTATCGCGGCTGCTGGTTGAGTCAGAGCTTATGGAAAACTATCATCGGAACTGATAACCTAAATTGGTGTGCGTCGAGGGTGTCCATTCTCTCCATTCTTGGTCAATTTTTTCATAGACCTGCGTCTGAATCTAACATTATCTTCGTCTGAATTTTCAGGAGTGGACCTTCTATCAGCAGATTAACTGGTTGACCTAGAATATGCTGATGACATAGCTCTACTTGGTGAAGATGCTGACAAAATGCAGAGTCTTCTGACTACCCTGAGCAACAATTAAATCATATTCGAGATGCGGTTCTCCGCCTCTCAATGCAAAATGTTGCTTCATGACTGGGTCGCATCAGTACCTGAGCATGTTGACCACTTTACGTATCTCGGGAATCTCATCAGTGCCGACGGCCTGGTGACTGACGAAATCGCCGCACAGATACAGAAGGCTCATTTGGCTTTTGTCAACTTGCGTCACTTATAGAGTAGACGATATATCCGTCTGCTAACCAAGGGAACAGTGTAAGTCCTAATCTTCTGAAATCCTCACCCATTTATACTGCGTGAATAATATCTTCAAACCATCATCCATCCGATTACTTCTAATACTTCTACTAACTCTCTTACTATGGGACTTGTATTGACAATTGCTTCTCCCTGCTAAAGTGGTATGGCAGCTTGAATTGATGCAAGTATATACGAAGTTCCACATTGTAAGTGACTGATTGACAGTCCTAAATACTTCCGCGGTATTATTGGGTTGCTAGCTCAATGTTTTTAGATAGCGAGGAAAGCTGATCATATATAGCTCTCAAATGTCAGCGATGGGAAATTTCAAACCCTAATGAATGACTGTAGTCTAATTTCTACCTTTTGTATTTTGTGGCAGACCTGATGACCTTTTGTTTTAGTAGATTTCTAAACCATAGTACATAGCAAGCAATTAATGAGCCAGTTGATGATATGAAAATTACACAAAAATGTTGACGGTTTAACAAGGTATAGTAGTTTCGTTGCGTGCATTCTATCAAATATGTATTTTTTAAAGCTTTTCTATAGAACATCTAAGTGCATAAATTAATATTCATTTTATTTTTAGGATGTCCTCAATTTTTATTAGGTATTTGTTTTTGTTTTATCTTATGTCTAATCGTGTGGTTGTTTGTTTGACTAGTAAGATCTAGATGGTGACCTTAGGACAAAATTAATTATAATAATAGACGAAAATTTCTTATGGGACTTTATTTCTTATAAATCAGGTGCTGAAGATTGGTTAAGTCAACTATTATAGATGTTAGGCAGCAAGTTGAACAATTTATAGGAATATTAAAATTCGGTAAAATTTTTGTGGATAGTTATTAACATTTCAATGAACAATCTGTCAGAATTAGAACATGAAGTTCATAGAAGATATTATGTAAAAAGTATACCCAAAATAATCTTAGTTAATAATATCTAAATAGCTTCCGAGAAAATCCAGGCCAGTTTATCCATTAAAATGTTGAAATTATTTTATATTCGTAATTAGTTTTCAAACCATTTTCATTTTAGAACCAGAATGGTTAAAACTATACTTCAGTTAATCAGAAATAGGTCGTATTTCTGTTTCAAAATAGTAGGATTTTGTTGATTTTAATTGAAAATGGATATTAGCTATCTATCCTACCTCTCAGTCAAACACAAAAATTCGTCAACATAAGCCTAATGGCAATTGTCTCTTTTCATAAACTTTACATTTATTTAAATTTCTAAAAGATCGATGAATTTTATATTTACTGTGTTTCATTGAAATCATGGACAAATCTGAGTAAGACAATCATTGAAACCCATGCTAAAAACTAATATGTGCTCACGAGTGGCTAGTTTCTAGAGAAATTTTCCAGAATTATCGTGAAAATTCGTGATCATTGCAGTCAGTTTTATGGCAGTTATTCACCGAAGACGACAGAAGATGGTCGCACAATTGTGTAGATCGATAAGAGTTAGAGGTCAACATCGTTGGATGCCGGCTTGGTGTTCGAGAGATTAAGCGTTCCCACTAAATACTTAAGATCCGAGGTTTGTTTTCCACGTGGAAGCCCGTGCTAGGGCAAATCGTCTGTATGTTACTTGCAGGTTTCCAATGATAATCTAACTTAGACGTGCCAATGATTTTAATGAGGTTCAGCAATATCCAAAACCCCACACATATTGAGTATTATTCTTTTGTTTGTTTCATAGTGATTTGATGTATTAATTACATTTCTTTTCATAATCAAGTATTGCATTGTCATGGATTACAAAGTTTCTAATCTGAAATTGCCGGAGTATTCATTACTAACGGTCAAGGTTAAGTAGTTCACATGGAAGTAAACAAAACTTCTTTACATCTT